TTGCTGTCCTACTTGCCAAGTAAATAAAAAAGCACCTTAATTTATCATGAGCTTGGGGACAAACAGAAGTGAGAACAATCCTGAATCACTCATCACTTCGGAACTGTGTGCCTGTGCGGTTCCTAAGTGTTATAATCATTGCCTGAAGCAAGGGCTAATCACCTGCCTGCTTAGAGAGCCAGGGTTCTGCAGTCCGAGATCCCTTCCCCTTCCTTCCACTTCTCTCTACAATTAATCTGTTGGCATCAATCCTTGATAACCCAACCATGCAATGATTTGGAATGCATCCATTATGACCTAGCTGCTTTGGGCTAGGAGCAAGATGGGATGCTGCATAGGGTTAAGGAAATAGTGGGCTTCCTTCACGGGAGACCAGAGGTTGTTATATACCTGTCTACAACCACATGCCATGCTGGCTTCTGCGCAAACCGAGTAAGTGTCATTCCACAGATTTTGTTACAGTGTGCAGGAGGGGAACACCTCGGCCTCCTCTCCTCGGGGGGGGGGGGGAGAGGAGAGGACGAGTGTAGTGTGTTTGAGTCAAGAGTGAGAATGATGGAGCCCCACGAGCCAGGAGTCGGGTGAGAGTGAGGCAGAAGCCACAGCTGATGCTAAACTACAGGTCCTCACTTTCCACTCAAACCTAGGGTAGTTTCTTATTATTAAAAAAAAAATCAAAGCTGAAACTGTCACCCCAATTTTTTAAGCCAGAGTTGTAATTCCTTTAATATCTTCGCTTAACAGCCACAGCGCATTAAAGAAATCTCTGGCAGGGACACCATGCTGAAGGGTATTTGAGGAAAGGAACCCTTCATCATCTCCCCGAGGGCTGAAATAACCCAAATGTGAGCATTTGCATCACTCTCAGCCCTATGCAAATCAGAGAGAAGCCTGCTGGGTACCCTTGTTTATTTTGGTAAATGTGTGGGCAGCTAAAGGAAAGGGGCTGTTTAAAACGTATGCGAAACTTTTAGTTTCAAGTTGTTAAGCTCTCCAAGAAGGAACTTGGATTCCTCAGGAATAAAATCACGCCTTACTTAAGAAATATGTAAAGCATAAACATTCTTAAACTCTCCACTGAATGTTTTATTTTTAAGTATGTAGCGTGTTTTGTTAGCACATGTGTGTCATATGTATGGCTAGTACCCAAAGAAGCAAGAAGAGTGTATCTAATCTCCTGAAACCAGAGTTACAGGCAGTTGTGAGCCACCCTGTGTGTGCTGGGAATCGAGCCTGGTATCTCTGGAAACGCAGTCAGTTCTCTTAACTGCTGAAGCATCTCTCTTGATTCCACATTTAAACTCTTTTAATGTCATGTTGCTGGCAGTTTGAACAAAGAATTGGGAACTTTTTCTTCCAAATGTGTAAGATAATGTATCTCACCTGAAGGGAGAATATGTGTGCTCCTACGTAAAGCATGCTGGCGCCTGAATATCATAATTCTAGGTCCCGCTTTTTTTGTCCTTCTAGGCCTAGGCATGGTTTCTGTTCATCTAACCTTGATTCTCCAACCAACCATGACTTCAATACATAGAACTTCTCTGGAGTTTGCCTCCTGTCTCTGAGGTTTCCCTCACTGTATCTGAATTACTGATGTTTTGTCCTTTTCCCTTCTCTAACACTGAATTCCCGTTGGTTTAACTAGTCACTATTAATAAAATATGTGTTTTTGAAACCCAACAGCAGCTTCCTTCAAATTTAGCATCACATAATTGAATTATATGAAGGTTTAATATCAAGTTGTTATTAACATTAATGGGGGTATTAGTTACTTTTCTGTTCTGTGATAAAACACCATGAACATGCTGGGTAGTGGTGGTGCACGCCAACTAATCTCTGCACTCAGGACACAGAAGCAGGTGGATCTCTGTGAGTTTGAGGCCAGCCTGGTCTACAGAGTGAGCTCCAGGACGACCAAAGCTATACAGAGAAACCCTGTCTCGAAAATTAAAATAAAAAAACACCATACAGAAGGAAATGTATAAAGGGAAAAATCTATTCGGGCTTCCAGTTCCAGAGGAGTAAGGGCCCACCATGACTGGGGGGCATGGTATCAGGCAGCATGGTGGCTGAAGCAGAATGCTTACATCTTCAGATGAGAGAGAGCAAGAGAAAACGATAGGAGGCTTTAAACTCTCAAAGTCTGCTTTCAGTTCATACTTCCTCCATCAAAGCCACACCTTCTATACCCAAACAGCACCATAGCTGAGGACTAAGGGCTCAAAGACAGGAGACAGTGGGGCACATGCTCATCCAAAGAACCACTGTAAGGAAGACAAACAGAAAAGAACAGATAATAAACCTATTTAAAGAAATAAATGGGGCAGGAGAGATGGCTCAGCAGTTGAGAGCACTGGCTGCTCTTCTAGAGGACCATACCAGATTCCTGACAGCCACATGGCTCAAACTGTCTGTAACTCCAGTTCTAGGCGGTTGGATGCACTCTTTTGACCTACAGAGATGCCAAGCATACATGTGGTGCATAGACATATACGCAGGCCAACAACTCATACATATAAACTGCAATAATATATATTTTAATTTAAAAGAGAGCACTACAAAAAGAAATTGATTCAACCGGACCTATGACTATTGTAAGGTTTCTGCACTTAAAGCCCCTGGTATTGGTCATTGGATGAGATGTGCAGAGCCATGGGATAGAGTAAAAATCCTCCCAGGAAATCTAAGTCATAAGGAAACTCTGTGTGTGTGTGTGTGTGTGTGTGTGTGTGTGTGTGTGTGTGTGTTTGTGATAGAAGGGTCATATTAAATTGCCAAGACAAAATAGAGGAAACTGTAACCACTAAAAGAAAGATAAAATGTGTATCTCACACCAAATACAAGAATAAACTCCAAGCAAATAAAAATCTCTACATAATCATTTAGTGGATACAACTACCAGAAAAAATAAGGGTGAGTTCCTGTTTAACCTTGGTATAAAAAGCAAAAAAAAAAAAAATCTAGAAAAAAAATAAAAGACTGAAAACTAGGGTTTCATAAAACTAAAAAGACCATGTACAAAAACATCAAAAGAAATAAGGAAAAACTATTTGTAACATATACCACAGGCAAGGGACTATAAGAATTCATGAACTACCAGAACCAAAGCAGCAAGCTCAGGGCCTACACAGGTTTGAACTGGGTCCTCTGTATATATGAGTGTATTTAGCTCAGGATTTTTATGGTACTTGGTATTGTGAGAATGAGTGAGTCTCTGATTCTTGAGTCTGTTCTGGAACTCTTTTGCTTATGTTGGGTTGCCTTGTTCAACTTCACTATGATGGTTTTTGCTTTACCTTTTATTTTATTTTGTCATGTTTGCTTGGTGTCTCTTAGAAGCTTGTTCTTTTCTAGTGAGAGATGAATTGGAGTGAATCTGGAAGGTAGGGGAGGTGAGAAGGAACTTGGAGGAGTAGAGGGAGGTAAACTATAATCAGGATATATTGTATGGGAAAAGAATTTATTTTCAATGAAAGGAAAAATGAAAAAAATCTAAAAAAGAATCCATGAACTATCAAAGTAAGTAGAAAAATAAGAATAGATCATGCAAAGACAATTTCAATGTATTTTAAAGGATACATGACATTTAGGGCAATAAATACAAGCTATATAATATAAATACTGCTGCTTTTCTCATCAGGAAAGCAAAATTAATTTGAAGTATGACAACACATTCCATTGGCAAGGCTAAAGGGAAGCACGTACGTGGGGACAGCCACGTGTGATAGCTGATACAGCCACGTGTGATAGCTGATGCAGGTCCACTTAGCCCTTTCTGAGAGAAATTTGGTAGTGACTAACAGCAGGATTCACACACTCACCTTTCAAATGAGCACTCCCACCTCTAGGAATCTCCTCTGAAGGTACATTCCTAAAAATGCAATGCTTATGCTTTGCAGAATTGGTTGGAAACGGATCAGATATTCATGAGACAAGGTGAATAAACTCCACATACAGACAGACAGTCAACAAAGTGCTATGCAGCTGTGAAAAACACGTGGTAAGTATCCTGTGACGTATGCTGTGCTCAGTAGGATATGACGCTTAGAGGAAAAGGGTGAAACGTTGAGCAAATGGACAAAATGGGCAAATCAATCTCTTTGCAACAGATGGAAACCACAACAGAAAACCACAAGCAAACACAACGCAGAGTTGTGGAGCCTGTTCCTAATGGATACATCTTCAAAACACGCACGCACCCCAGGCTCGGGTAATGCTGCAGAGGAGGGAGTCATGGAAGGATTGTAAGAGCCAGAGGATCAAGGAGTTTGCTGTGAGACTTTGTCTTGTAGCAATATCAGAAGCTACATCCATGAAGTCTCACCAACATGATTGCTCAAACATGACCTGAACAAGGATGGCACCGATGAACAGGCCAAACTGGACAGAGAAAAGCCCATGAGACCTCAACCCTACATAAATAACTATAGTCAAAACCGAGGAAAGACAGGAGTGGAGAAGTGGTCTTCCCAGTGACAGAGAGTCATCCCTGGAAACGTGCCTACAAGCAGCATTATATGGACTGAACAGGCTATATTAGGAACATCTGTGTATATACATATACATATACATATACATATACATATACATATACATATATGCATGCAATAAAAATTAGTGAAAAAAAGAGGCCATGGATTTGAAAGAGAAGGGAGGGTCATATGGGGGACTTAGAAGGAGGAAAGAACAGAGAGAAATGTTTTTATTAGATTATAATCTCAAAAACATTTACATAATGGAGAAACTATCAAAATGAAACAGGAATACCTGAAGGGATTATTATATCCTGAATATGAGGGAATTTAAACAGCATAAGGTTAAAAATAGGCTGTTACAGAATAAAAACATCCATGAATTTTGCCAGACATGGTGATGCATGCCATAAAACCAGCACTCGGGAGGCAGAGGCAAGCAGACCTCCCTGAGTTTGGAGGCCAATCTGGTTTACATAGCAAGTTCCAGGTCAGCCAGGGGTACATAGTGAGACCCTGTGTCAAAAATACATAAATCCACGATTTTGTTCTGCCATAAATAACTTTTTTTTTAAAAAAGGCAATAGATAAGGGGAAGCTTTCCTGCACAATAGGATTCCAGTTAGTAAGCACAGAAACAACAATGAGGCAGAAGACCAGTATCTGTAAACCCTCCCCAGCACTCGAGAGGTTGGGAAAGAAGCATCAATGAATGATAGAATTAGAAGGCAGGACAGTCACATGGCCTCAAAATATGTGCCCCACAAGCACTCGCCAGTTACAGGGAAAATGCCACAGCAGAGAAATGCAGCTGAAACCACTTTAACCAAATGATCAGCAGCAGAAGCAGCAGTAGAGACTGAATGAGTTAAAGCTGGACAAGCCTTATGAAACAGTAAGGAACTCCTAACGGGACTTCAAGAGCAGTTTACAGAGGCATGGCCCAAATTTATTCACGAAGAAACCTTAGACAAATCTAAATTTTAAAAAAAAAATCGGTTTTAAAAAACAAAACAAAACCTGTCCAGTAATTTTCAAAAGAGTCGTGGATGATAAAGGAAGATTGTGGGAGCCTTCTGGACTTCAGCAACAGCCGGAGCGAGCAAAGCAGCCAGGGCACAGACTGAAGGCGGCCTTCGTGCTCAAGGCCATGCACTGCAGGACTGGTCTTGAAGAAGACCTGACAGGAGCACGTCATTCCGGCTGAGAACCGGGGATGTAGTGGGGAAAGTGGGAAAATTGGCGTAAGGCGTGCTGGCCCGGAACAGAATTGTATCAATATTAATTTCCTGGTTTTGATCACCACAGTTATGCAAGATGTTAACCTCTGCTTACTATTTGTATGACTTTTTTATATGGGTAAAACTCATTTAAAATGAAAGTTTCAATTTTGATTTTAAAATTCTGAAAACAGCAGCAAGGTGAATAATTTCTTGTTGAAAATCTAGCATAATGGTATATATGGGGCTATTTAGTAAGTAAGAAAGTAATGACGTAGGGGGATGGGCTGGGCTTTGAAAGCGTCCAGGTGCAGGCTCGACTCAGGCCTTCTGTGATGCAGGCTAGTTCATCTCTATAAGCCTCAGTTTCTGTGCCTGTGGAAGGGTCGTCATAATAACACCTGCTGTATAGGATTCATTCTTACTGCCAATATTTCTATCTATATGATGATTCTTTATAATAGCTAATGTTTGTGAGGAACTTATTGTAAGCTTAGCCAGCAGAATTGTTAGCAGTTGTCATTGTGATAGTGGTCGATGACCAGCTGATTCCTTATAAACGAACTACCCGCTGTACCGACAGGTCTCTTAAAGCCAGAGAGATAACCCATAAATTATGCTTCTAATATTCTGAGGTACCTCCATGTAACTAAATACCATAGGTGGACACCTGAACTTACAAAACTCACCAAAGTTGATTGTATTTCTTGAAACCTGATTTATAGGCTTCTCGTGAGGCAAGCAGCATCTGGTTTGCTTTTAATTTTGGAGTGACAGATCCATGCCTCAGGACAATGGTTTATGTATTTACCTAAGCAGACTGAGAAAGGGCCACCACTGGGTGATTTAAGCCTGTGGAGATGCTGGCTTAATACTAAGTCTTCTCGTTGACCCTTTCAGAGGGGCAAAGAGAAGCCAAACTCCCTGGTTTGCCTTTTCTAAGCAGGACTCTGAACTCCTCAAGTGTGATGACACAGATTAAATATTTGAGGTTAAGGATTGCTTGTAGGTTCATGCTTTCTCCTTTAATCCATTTCTTGAGGTAAGTCCAGGATAAATAATGAGCAAGCACAGAAGGGTGAGTGTGGCTAAACACGATCCTGCCTCAGTGCTAAGTCAAACACTGAAATGTCTGGTGTTTCTAGCAATGCACTCATTTCCTGAGGAGGACAGAAGATCAAGGGTCTTCCGTGGCAAATAGTCCATTTGTAAATGAGGAGTGCAAACCATCACAAGCAAAACATACCACTCCGCTGTCTCGTAAATACTTCCAATAACAATTTAAGGTTAAGAACAAAGGCTAAATTCCTGAATAAATCCTCTTATCTTCCAAATCTGATCTAAGGTTTTAGAAACCCTCCCTTCTGGATATTAACCAAAGAGAGTTTCCATCCAGTCCCTGAGAAGGGAAGGTCAAATCGATGCTAATTTTAACCTAAGCAGAGACATTTTCTAATCCCTGAGTCCTTGTTGATCCCTGTACTCTGATGGTGGATCCCAAAGCTCCTCTGTGTGCCTGGAATGACTTCTAACTGTAGCTAACATCTGGGGTATCAAGCCAGGACCATCTAAATCGTCACCCCCATCGCCACGGTCATCCAACCTCCCGGTTCTGTACTCTAGCCTCAGAAACAGCAGAATGTCACATTCACCTTCATCTTGGCTTTGAAATTTCAAAACTAGAAGCTTCTTCCAGTGGGTCCCTTGCTTTCCTGATTATCACCTTTCGTCTTTTTGTTTCATTTTATTCTACCTATTGCTTTGTTTGCTTGTTTCAGACAGGGTCTTGTTATGTATCTCAGGTAGGCCAGAAACTAATTTTTCAGCCCAGCACAGGCTCCCGTTTGTGGCAATCCTCCTGCTTCAGACTCCCAACAAGACTCTCTACTTGTTTGTTAGTACTGTTTATGTTCGTTGTTCGGTTTCATTTGAGGGAGAAAAGGTTGATTGTGAACCACTAAGGTAGATTTCATAAGTAAAAGAACTCTGCCTTATGTAAATTATGTATATCATAATTAGGGTATAAATTTTCACTGAATCAGCAAATAGTACTATATTCACTATTACTTCAGTTAAAGTCCATCTTGAGCAACTCAACAATTTATGTAGTTCCTATAAACTGCACAATAAGTGTGAAAATCTTCATCTATAAAACAAAAGGACTAATTACCTCAGACAGTTTTCATAATTCTCTTGCTGTTGAGGATCACTCACTAATTTCATCCAAGCCTTAGCCAAACCTTTCCACCCCTGCTCTGCCTTGAGTAGAGAGTTTCCTTAGGTTATCCGGAGCTGCTTTTTGCAGTTTGTTTCTTACATAATCATAACACCTGGGCTTAATTTGGAACTTTCATTTCTGAAACATTTTCAGATATGGCAGACGGCTTGTTATGCTGGTTACACACGTGGAGGAACTACAGGCGAGTCACGTGACGGGGATCCAACTCAGAACTACAATAAGAAGGAAAGTCCTTTAATAGCCATGTTCTTTCCCCTTCGCCATAATCAGTAAGCTTTCCTTCGGGATGCAATTAACTATTGGAATTGTATTTTATTGATCTCCTACACTGTTCAACTTGTGGGCACTCCTGCTGCACGAGGCGAAGGACGTCTCTGAGTTTCTGCGAGAGGAAGACAACAGAAGCAATAGTTGATTACTGTATATTTGCCAACAGACATACAGCGAGTGCCAAGGACAACACATTGAGCCACCTTCAGACAGTAAAAGCATTCAGATTTACACAGCTCTTGCCCTAACTGCGGAAGTGCAGGCCAGTGCTACACAAGACGGGAAACCAGGATGAGCATGCGCAGCAACACACTGGAGTGGCCCCGATGTTTATAGCCACCAGGATACAGAACTGAATTTCTCAGATTCTCTCAACCGTTGTACACTGGCTGAAACTGATCAGGTTTGCTTTTCCTCCTCATTCTGCAGGTGGCATCCCTTCATTTTAAGTTATCACATCCAAACAGTTCTGCATGTCAGGGGTGATCACCGACACTGCCTTAGGCACAGACCACTCTCAAAGATCCTGAGAGATCCTCGGCAGTCTACTTAGCTCGCTAAAGTTATCCTCCCCTGAAGAAGCAGACAGTTGTCTCTGTTATATTGTCAATGGTGCAGTACAGGACCAGACAAACAAGAACCACAGGATACATGGTGAATTTCTTCCTTAGAATTACACTTTGGGCAAGCAGTGTATCTTAATATGCTCAAGTTCATGCTATTTTTGCCTCCAGAGTCAACGGCAGCATATAAAGAATTCCAACTTTCTTCAGAATATGTGCCATGAAACTAGCTTAATGAAAAAGAATAACAATATAACAGGCAAGTTATACAGCAAACCTAGACTAAGACACTCGCAGAAAGGGTGTTTGAAAGATAAATATAATGCCATAGGCTCATGGTGCCAGATCTTGGGAGGTAGAAGAAGAAGGATCAAATGTTCAATGCCAATCTGAAGGAAAGAAAGGGTATTTGATAAAGAGACTGGACTTCCAATCAGCTCAGAATCCTGCCTTTATCGAGTGGCGAAACACATAGCATTGTGGATTGACTTAAGGATGGCTGCCCTCATTTTTTTCTCAAAAGAGCAATTTGTGCAGTGTCTCTTTTTCCTGTATAGATACTGCTAATATGGATGGATTGGAGAATTGCTGAGATGACTGGAGAAAGAAAAAAGAAGTCATCAGATTTTATCCACATTACATATCTGAGCTACCACAGGTAAGAGGCAAATGAAAGGATACAACATGCAAAACGAAGGAGGGCAGTGATGAAAATTCTGTGCACCTCTTTCATCATCACGTTTTTTCAGAGACGTCGATAAGAGCTCCTCACAGCGTTCATATCAGGCACTATCAAGCGACAGACACTGTCTCCATTTGTGAAGGTATGAAAGGGAGTGAACAGACTTGCTACCTGGAAAGGAGTTGGAGGAAAAAGTCAATTTCTAAAACCTTCATTTGGTGCACATGACTAAGAGCTTCTGGTCTGGAGAAGGGAACCCATCCTTTCATATCCAGCCCTGCAATTTATACCTCTTGTCACAAGGTTACCTAATTATGGAAGTCTCAGTTTCTTTATCTGCAAAGTGAAAATATGCTAGAGATTGAAAGAAAAAAATGGTTGAATTGTTCACCATTCTTGGTATTCATACTTTTTTATTATTCATCTTTATTGCCTTTAATCACATATATAGTGTGTGTGTGTGAATGCAGTTGCCTCCAGAGTTCAAGAGGATGGCAGATGTCTTGGAGCTGTGATGTGGGATTCCCCTCTGTAAATACCATTGGTTAATAAAGAAACTGCCTTGGCCTGTTGATAGGACAGAGTAGAACCAGATGGGGAAAACTAAACTGAATCCTGGAAGAGTCAGTGAGAAGCCATGTTGCCCCACCAGAGACAGACGCTGGAACTTTACCCAATATACCACAGCCTCGTAGCGATACACAGATTAATGGAGATGTGTTAATTTAAGATATACACTTAAGCTACTGGCCAAACAGTATTGCAAATAATATGGTTTCTGAGTGATTATTTCAGGGCTGAGTAGCTGGGAACAAACAAGCAGCCCCCTACAACAGAGCTAGAGTTACAGATCCAGTGTGGGTAACTGAGATTTGAACTCATGTCCTCTGCAAGAGCAGTGCCTGCTCTAAACTGCTGAGTCCAGCCTTGCCAGTATTCGTTCTTCTGGCATGCTATTTTCCAGTTCTTCTAAAAGGAAATTAATGGGGCATTTATTAAGCAACTAAGCTACATACACACTAAGCCTTAGTGACGTGGCTTGGTTTAGCTAATTAGCTATTAACATGGATGTGACAAGCAAAAGGATGGAACATATCACTAGATTATTCAGTGCTTGAGAGCAGAGCCTATACCTCTGCAGTAGCTTACTGAACATAACCAACCAGCCCGGCATATTGGAGGATGAGGGACATGGAGGAGCTGACCAGTTCCGGTTGCCCCACCTGAAACCAGGCTAGATCGCACTGCAGCGAGCTGAACTCTTCATAGTGTAGGTCAGCCCAGGCAAGATCAGTAGATCTGCTCAGCCCAATATGCCAGATGTGCAATATGACCACAAGGTTCTATAAGCCTTTTGGTAAGTAGTATTGGCGTTATGGTAAATCACTGACATCTGACACTAGTAACTACCAACTCTGCATCTATGTCATAATAATAGTAATATTGATGTGCTATTTCTTTCAATGAACAATTACACAATATGCAAATGTATGGGAAATTCGTCTATGAATCTAAAACAGACAAGTATTCCAAAACATGTCATTTACCAGTTTTTGTGAAGGACCAAGAAGATTCAATTATATTTTTAAGCTAATAGATATCCTGAACTCTGTTCTACAAGCAGTTCATTCCCTTCTACAAGATTTATATTGTTAAATATTTTTAAAAGCAAAACTAACCAATATCCCCCCCCAAAATGCATACACCCCACAAAGACATTCAAACCCACAGTCTACCAAGAGAAGCAGGGCCTGGCTTCATGACTAACCCTGAGTTAGAGGATTTTGCTGCATGGGAGGGATGGGCAGGAAACAGTGTTTATCACCATCTTTCCTTGTAGCCTATTTGGGCAATCCTCTTGAGGTGGTTTAATATGATGGGAAATGGGAGCTTTGGATCCTAAATTCTGGCTCTGCCCCCTCCGTGATCTTGAGCAGGTTAAACCTTGGAGACCTGGATTACCTCATTCCTTGAATGAGAATAAAAACAGGAACCTCCTCAGGTTGCTGCAAGGCTCATATAAAGTTATAGCTGCAAAGCCCGCACAGCTGTGCCTGCACACAATAAACAGTCAATAAATACCTATGATCACGAGCTACTCCACAGTGGAGTTTGAGGTCCTGCAGCTCCATTTCGAGCCGTGCTAGGTTCTGGGGGCTCCACTCCTGTCTATGGTAGATGAACCTAAAAGGACTTGACTCCAGACAGGTCACCAGCACTGTGGCTGTCACCGTGCTCACTTCAGAGGAAGAGCCACAGGCAAAGGCATAAAAGGAGAAAGGGCCAAGGAGAATTCGGATAAACGTCAGGAATGATGCTTTTGTTTTCATGGATTCTAAGTCATCCCACCCAGCCTCTTGGAAGAAAGAGGAATTCAAAGAGACGTTCAACTTCATGCAATAACCGCCCGTTACCACTCAGACAAATCAAATGACCTTCGCCTAGCCAGCTAGGCAAGCAGAGAGACCAGTTGGCCTTGCTGGTGTGAACTACTTCTCTCATTGATTCAGTAAAACTGATAACTGGAGCTATAACATACTCTTAGCGTCTCTGTGCTTCTCATGTAGGGATCAGAAGGGTCGCCACCAAATTATACTTTCTTCTTCACCCTAGTCTTTGCATCTCTTTTCCAACCCCTCCCCCCCCCCATATCAAGGAGATGACTGTTCAGCCTCTACAGGGCTTTAGCAAGTTCTCTTGCTGTGGTCTCTAGATGCTCAGGGAAGTCAGGACATCAATGCCAGTGCCACAGATATTGCCAGTTCTCCTTCTGAATCCTGCTCAGCTAATGCTCCACAGCCCCGCAGGATGAACAATGAGTACCAGATGAAAGTGGGGCCCACATCCCATGCCAACACTATAAAATTCCTGAAATCACTGCCACCTTATAAAAGTTAACAATACAAACGTTCTCCCGTTATCAATTCAATCTGTTGCTTCCACAGGCAAACCTTGGTCCAGAGTTCGGCTCCACCATTTCCCCTCCCTGGCTCTGTCACGGGCAAAGAAAGCATTTGGGGATCTGGTGGAATCCAGGGGCCTCTGGCAGCTGTGCGCTAGGCTGCTTGCCAGTGTAATTAGACTAGAGACTTAACACTGGCAGTCACTGATTATTTCAACCCCACATCCCTTTTCTCTATTCTCTAACATACCTAAGGGTCAAAAGTACACACAAAGCTACCACAGCATCAGCCTTCACCCCTCCCCCAAATTCAGAAGACAAACCCACTTCCAGTTCATAGCACAAACACTGATTTCCATCTGATGACAGTTCCCAAGCAGGACAGACTTTCCTAGAGTCCAGCACAGGTCATACACCAGATCCCTACTTGAGGGCCAGTAGCGGGCCATTGTACAGACTTGGGGGTGTCCAGGTTTTCAGGGGAACAAATGAAGAGGCATCCACTTCCTTGCACTGATTCCAACCATGGAGATTGTGCCAACTGTCTGAATTCAAGACTTGGGAAGTCACGTGGGTGAAAGAGAGCAACTTCATCAATACACGAATTGTGCCATGTGCTCCTGGCTGAGCTTTGCCAGCATAGCTGGGCTTCCAGGCACTATGGAAATAACAACTTGAAAGCAAAGACTCAAGATGATCTGCCGCATCAACTGCCTGCTCCACTGTTGCCAAAAGTGATCAGCACGAAGAGATAACGCCATTGGTATTCCCATTTAAATGTTACAATAATAATAACGCCTATGGTCGCCTTCAGGTTAGTTTATAATAAAAACAGCTTCTCGATCCTGGAAAACTTATCCAGTTTCTTTCTCCTTCTCCTTCTCCACTTAACGACTGAAGCTATTATTTCCATGGTGGTCTCCAAAACCACATTTGGTTTCTATGTAGATTGGCATGTCACCTCCAGCAATTTTACTGGCTGACTTTCTTTCTCAAGAGGCTATGATTAAAATATCAATCCAGTTTCTGAACTAAGTTAGCAGAAGAGTTATATAAATACCTAACACGGAAATTCTTCACTAGGGTCCCCTCTTCTTTTTTAATTGTCTCACGGGAAAGTTACCAACGTGGAAACAAACATTGCGCATCTCTGTCCCCCTCTCCTTACTGTCCTTCCCAGTGCCTCCAGTGTGAAAACGGGAGTGAGAAAACTCACCTCCCGCATGTAGGATTCCAATGAGCATAAACGAACTGAAGAACATCTGGAATCTAAGCCATGCTACCTTGGCTGCCCAGCTGTCTGGCAGCGGTGGCCTCTGCGAAAAGGGGGCATTAGGCAGAGGGCTTGCCCAGTAATCCAAAAGGACAGCAAACTCTGGTAGTGCTAATTCACCCATTTGTCCTACTGCCTGGAAACCATCCAAAAATGCAAATCCATCACTCAGCAAGCATTAACTGAAGCTGCCTCTGGGCCTAGTATTGGGCTAAATCCTCACTTTTGAGCAGCTTACAATCTAATTACTGTAATTAGAGACCAATTGAGTATTAAACTATGTGACAGTAAGTAGGAGTTTGAAGCAAATGATCACAGTGGGCTGGGGTATTTGGGAGAGATCTCAGAGATTGCAGGCCTGTGAGAAAAATAACACAATAATGCTGAGGTTTCCACTGCTGATAAAGAAAGGGGCTTGGGATAAAAGATCACCGGTGGGGTGTTGAGTAGAGTGGAAGGGACCCATCAGGGAAGGTAGATGCTGGCTCTCCTGGTACCCTGCCAGAGTCCCTCTTTACAAAGAAAATGGAAAGAAGTTCAGGGGAGGGGAGTCAGAGAGACAACTCAGCAGTTAAGAACCTGTACTGCGCTGACACTGGGGACTCCCAACTGCCTGCAGCTCCATCTCCAAGAGGATCCAATCTGTGGGCACCTGCACGCAGATGTACATGCCAACACACAGATAAACATGGACAAACATGAAACTAAAAAAAAAAAATGAAAGAGGAAACACAATCTCTCCTGAAACCATTTATCCTTTGAATCCATGTTGGTGACATTGCTAATTTATTTAGCTTCTCTTATAGAAATAGCTCTGAATGAAATGACTTCCTACCAATGCCCGCACAGGCTGCGGGCAAAGCTGAAGGCATGTTGCTGCAAAGTCAGGATGGGTCATTCCCCAAGGGGCAAAGGGGATGAGGGAGAAAACGGGTGAGACCCTGGGTAAGGACCAGCACGTCCGAGCAGCAGGAGTCCATCTGCGCCAAGAATTTTCCAGAGCTAGCGTGCGAGTTTTGAACTAATTAATTAATGGAAGGAGCAATAGTTTATTTCCCTTTAATTATGAACTTTGCATTCATCAGAATATTTTAAATAAATTATGAGCATTATGTGAGAAACTCCCATCTGATGAGCACTGTGTGGTATGGTTTCGGTTTGCTTTTAATTTGTCTAAAAAAAAAAGAAAGAAAGAAGAAAAGAAAGCTGAAAAGATTTGACACTACAGCAACTGTCGTTAAAGAGGACAAATGCTTGAAAACCTTTTGACATAACTCTAAGTAAAATGCATGTTCTAAACCCAAATAAAACAGTACATTATCTTTTCTCCTTGCTACTCTTTAAAAGTAGTATATAAAGAAATAACATGGTTAAAGCCAAAATAAATATTTCAGTGTCTCCAATCTCACATCGATATTTATAAACAAACTTTGAAGAAGTCATGGTAACGAGGTAAAGCTGCACTCTGAGCCACATAACCCAGCTGCAAAATCATGGAACTTCAATGAGCAGTGCGGAGATCCAGCCTCGTCACCTTTCCCACCCTCCACCAGGAGACAGGAAACGCTTTCCGAAGGGCCAGACACTATTACAGACCTTGTGACCGGAGTTGCCCCTTCTGCTGTATGTGTCCTTGCAGTACCAAAGTCAGCACAGACAGAAGCAAATGGGAGCTGCTGTGACCCCGGGAAGATGTAGTGAGATTTTGTTTTCATCTTAAGTTCACAAGCCCCTAAATATTATTCAATTGTTTTTTTTTCAACCACTTAGAAATGTAAAAACCTGTCCAACTGAAGAGTACACAAAAACAGGCCCTAGAGGTGATTTGGTCCACGGGCCATCATTGTGGGTTCCTTCTCTAGATTTTAGTTAGCGCTCTCAACTTGTTAAAAGCAAAGTTTATCCTGGCACTTGTGAAAATAGGAAAGACAACTTCATTCGGGATTAGAGCGCTATCAACACTACTGCATTTGTGGTGTGAGACTGAGCCCAGACAGAAAAACAACAGGGACTTTAGAACCAGAGAGCAGGAGAGACAGGTGGGAGGGGGAAGAGGAAACAACTGTTGGCCCGCGGACTCCTGCTGAAGGTAAGACAAGATCACTTACACCAGCTGTGGGGGTGAAAAACTGAGCTTCCTCTTGAGAGTGGGGGAAAGGGTCCTCTAAGGAGAGCTAAGAGGACCCTTATAAAAAGCGGTGCAGACCCGACAGGCAATGCAGCCGGTGTCGTGGCCTGCTTAAGAGGCCTTGGAACCTGACCAAAGCTTGGCCAAGGACAGCCTTCGTCAAATCAAAGGTTTCTCGCTAGTTGGCATTGATAGGTGGTACCTGCCCAGTGTGTGAAAGTCCCCTTGAAAATCAGGTGAGAGACGATCGCATAAGCCTGTCTTTATTAGCTCAACACACAAAAATGTAGGATCCTAAAAATGTCAAACTTTCACCACAACTCATGCCCGTCTGACCCATAAAAACAACATCACCCATCAGGCCTTTCCTCACTACTCACAATTAGCGCCCTGTGGAGTAAGGAAATAGCTGGCAGTTGTCTGCGTGGATGAAGTCAATGCAGTCTCATTCCTTTGCCAAAAGGCAGGGAAATCAATTGCTGATGTCTCTCCTCAGGCTTACTCGAGGTCAGCTGATGTGGAACAACCAGGCAAGACAGGGTTTGGCTTCCCCAGGGCCTTTTTTTTTTTTTAACAGAGAATCTACACTGCTTTTTAAAAGAAATGAAAAAGGTTTTTAGAGTTGCAGCTTTTGCTTTTACCTACCTGCCAGTGGTGGGGCTTAAAACATTTTAAGTTAAGATGTCTCTATGGAAACACACAGACATACACAACTTATATTTTATGGCCAGGTGATTATCAGCCTAGACTTCAATGTCCTATTGTATTACCATAGGCCATCGGTGATGTCAGCAACACCCTGGACAATTTCCCACAACCCTATTAGTTATAATGGAATTTATGTAACTATTTCTTCTACTGAAAAGAAGTCTAAAGTACTTCGCCCTGAGGTTTCCTTTTAATTTTCATTAACAGTGTATTGTTTAAAATATTCCTACCAAAAACATTTTTTATGAATTTTGGGACATACAATGAAGAGGGAAAAATGAAATCAAATAATTCAACAGCAGCTTTTGGATTTACATAATCAATTTTCCTTCCGTCCCTTCCATCGGGGTCAACATACTTTGTTAAAAAAAAAATTACAAGTTCTTTCCCCCACAGACTGCGCATTCATCACAACCAAGAGGGAAAAAACTTAGTACGCCGTGAATAAATCAGACATCTTGACCAAGTGACTAAAACTAATGTCACCTGTAGAAACTGCTGGTCTTTGTGGGCCTCCACATGAGAACGCAGCAAATAAAAAGACACCTCTGTTGTGCAGAAGATGGATGACAAACCGCAGCTGTGGCGACAGGCGCAGGACAGGTATGAAAAAAAAAAAACCTGTCAGAGTCAGCGAGGAGGGAGGTGTGGTTCAGCTAAGAGCGGGAGAGTGTGCAAGGCCCGGGCTAGCCCCTGTGGCCCCTGGGAGCACTGAGGAAAGAAAACAGTGGCAATGGGAAAGGCAAAAGAAAAGTTCTAGGTTGGGAGGAGATGAAAACACAGAGCCCAAGCGTGGGCCCAGGGTTAGGGGCTGGAGGAAATCCTCTCCAGGGTTTAGCTGAGCCAAGTGACCCAACCAGAATGCCAATGCCAGGTGAAAGCATAAGAAAGTTAAACTCATGGATCTTTAACCACAGAGTGATGATGGCACCCGACCAAGAGCACTTTATGCTTAAAAACTGAAGTGCTTAGGGGTAAAGGACCCTGAGGATGTATGCACAACTGCCACCAAAACAAACCAAACAAATAGAAGTACACTGAAGGAGGGCTGTGGATGTAGCTGGAGTGCTTGCCTGACAGTCATGAAGTCTGAGACAGATTCCCTGGCATTCACAAACCTGCCACAGTGGCAATCACCTATAGTCCTAGTCTCTAGTAGAGAAAGGGGAATGTGAAATTCAGAGTTACCCTCAGCTGTACAGTGAGTTTGAGGCCAGCCTGGGCTATGAGAGAAATAAAATATGGGGTGGTGGTGGGGGGGATTCTTAGAAAAACAAGCAATCTTGCCTACATTTGAGACTGTGTTCTCCGTATTTGAAACATATGACAGGAAGAAAAGTGCAGATATCTTGACACATATGACCTTTCATCAATGACATGCATGACCTTTCATCAGTGATTGAAGCCTGTCACAGCATGACATAACCGCCCATTCTCAAAATTTGCTAAAATTATTTTATTTCATTTATTACTTTTTATTTTTGCTGGGCACTCCAGCAGCTTTGATGTAACCATTTCTCCCTAATTCCTCTTAACAGGACAGTGGCTCTACAGCTACCCTGTGCCCTGCGCCTTCCTAACCATCTCATGCACAAAGAACGACTCAGTCTCTTCTGAAGGCACAACCAGTATAGTTCTGTTGGATATCTGGTGCGGGAGAATTGTCTGTATTCTGTCAATCATGTATTTTAATAAAACGCTGATTGGCCAGGCAGGAAGTATAGGTGGGTCAACCAGACAGGAAGTAGAGGCAAGGTGATGAGAACAGGAATATTCTGGGAAGCAGGAAGCTCCCTCCGCCATTCCTGCCCAGACCACCAAAGAGGCAACATGTGAGCTGTCACACTGAGAAAGGTACTGAGCTGTGTGGCTAACATAGATAATGATAATGGATTAATATAAGTTACAAGGACTAATAAGAAGCCTGACCTAATGGGCCAATCAGTTTATAATCTTATGGAGTCATGTGTGTGATTGATTTTCTCTGGGACTTGCCAGTTGTGGGGTACCGGGCGGGAACAGATACCCCAACAAGCCGGCCCTCGTGCTACAAATATCAACTTTTGAGCTGGTCTCTTAATATTTTAAGATATGGCTAAGACTGCTGGAGAGAGCGGCCCTCGAGACTGTTTTACTAAATATACATCTATAGTTCCTCACCATCACGGGGATATTGCTTTTTAATTCTGCAGATTTGGTGGCTATGACATACTAGCGATACTGCCCGGCAGTGGCAGTGCTGGTTCCTAGTCTACAACAACCAATGCAAAGTGATCTTTCCCATAGGAAACTATGCCTGTGTCCAAAAACTTTTTGTTAGTGACTGGAAAGAGAATGTTAAAGGTGGTAAAGGGAAATTAAACCTTTCAGCCCTGCTTAGGAATCAGGAAATGTCACTTAGCCATCTGTTAAAATCGAGAAGGGAAAACACGCTCACAGCTTTACTTTCTGGTATTATCTCTTTGCTTCCTAAGCAGGGCTTGTCTTTGGGATAAAATGCCCACACACTATTTCTGGCCCTATGCTTTTAGCTTAGTCTTTTTTTTTTTTATGAATTTCTCCCTAAATTCAAACTAATCACTTCATTAAAAGCTTACCATAAAGCCACAGCCAGAAAGACCCGGTGGTACTCTACAGAGGAAAGATCCCGGGTTGCTTTGCCTACAGGTAATACCCAGAAAATGATATGAAGTCAATAAACGATGTCTGCCTGTGGGAAGGCACAGGAGCCAGGGTGAATTATGGCCAGCTGCAAAAAGGAACACACTAGTCAAGGCACTAAAATTTAATGAGAAGACAATTTTTAAAGTAGATAGAACCGAAGAGAAGGTGCACAGACCATTATTGTAAATTTAAAATCGTGCGTATTCTTCGCCCATAAAACTTCTGAAATGCCGTTAAAAAACACACACGCACAAAACCACGCAATTATAAATCCTCTGAAGCATGTAACTGTGATTAGCTGCTCCCCCCGGCAATATAAAAATACTACCGCCACAATCACATTCCTGCCTGTAATGTAATTCAAAACAAACAAGTCGGAGACAGCGCTCAAATGGCAGAGTCAACAAACACAGCCGCTTTGCATCAAGGGCTTGCTTTGGCACTGTGGCGGCGCGGGCGCTGGCACAGGCCCTGTGGTGGAACGGCGAGGCCCCCTGTTGGGCAGAGTCCCGCACTGCGCCCAGGGAAGCTCAGAAAAGCTGCACTTTGCATCAGTGATCCTTCTTGGAGATTTTGTTCTAAGGTCAAATTTTTAGCCACTCAATTTAAATTTTATCAGTTGTGTTTCAAAGAGTAATGGCTTTGTCATTTCGGATTACATGGACCATCTTATTCAATCCCATAACCATCATTCCTGCATTCTTATTCCAAGTATCACCTGACGGTAATTGGGGGGGGTGGGCAGGGTGGGTTCCTACACAGCTCAGGCTTGGCTTGAATTCCCCATCCTCTTGCTTCGACCTCCTGGTCAGTGTGTACCATTAGCCCAGTGCACCTACCATTCATTCTCCTGCAAGTCATATCACTTTTCACTCGTCTCTGTGAGAACGCGAGGTCTTGGTTTGGAGAGTACAACAACAGACTAGTTCCTCTATTATAGGAAACTACTTCACTTTTGGTTTTAGCTTTTAAATTTTTTTGTGTGTGTAAATTGTGGAAATGTGTGCATACTTAAGTGTGCCCTTGGAGTCCAGAAGAGAGTATTGGAGCCCCTGGGACTGGAATTACAGGAGGTTGCGAGCTGCCCAGTGTGGGTGCTGGGAACTGAACTCGTATCCTCTGAAAGAGCAGTGTTTATCCTTAACCCCTGTGCCACCTCTCTAGCACCCACTATTTAAGACCACTCCTCTTCAAAGAAGGCATGAACACAATTTTATTGTAGCAATATGCTAGGATTCAAACATGACTCGTGGGCACTTCCTTTAAAAGCATCCATTTTATCTAAATACTTCTAAAAAAAAGTTCTAGGGTTGGAGAGAAATCTGTCAGTATAGTGGCAGAAGGACCTGAGTTCACTCTCCAAAACTCACATTTAGAAGACAGGAGGGAGGGAGGGAGGGAGGGAGGGAGGCTTCCACAGGTGGAAGGAACCCTGCACATCCTGGCTAGCCTGTCTAACTGAATGGAAGAAAGAGAGAGAGAGAGAGAGAGAGAGAGAGAGAGAGAGAGAGACAGAGAGAGACAGAGAGAGACAGAGAGAGAGACAGACAGAGAGACAGAGAGAGAGAGACAGAGAGAGACAGACAGACAGACAGAAAGGCAGACAGCAGGAAGAGGGTGGCTACCTGAATTGTCCCTTGCTTCCACACCCACACGAACCCCCAATATGCACGGTTGTATGCATATATAAAGTCATATTACAAACTAGCACGGCCCCAGGTCTCCATGCCCTGCTGGAGTCGTGGGCAGAAATGGGTTTGAATACACTCAGTAATAAGTCGAAGGCTTCCTTTCCTTCTCCTTCCTCTGTGGGTCTTGCTTGATCTTCCGAAGACTTGTCTTTTTGTTCGTTTGCTTTCTTGCATGTGCATGTGTGGTGTCAATGTGTTTGTACTTGTGCTTGGGGGTGCATCGTGGGGTCCTCCTAGATCACTCTTCATTTCACTCATTGAGGCAGGATCTCTCATCTGAACACGGAGCTCACTGATAAGGGATCACCTAACTAGTAGCTTGCTTTGGGATCTTGGAAGCCCAACTCTGCCTTCTAAGCACTGGGGTTACAGGCAGGCCGACAAGCCCACCCGACATTTATGGGTGCTGGGAACTGAGGCCTCTTGCTTGTACAGCAAGTACTTTGTCACCCAGCCATCGCCCCAACCCACAAAGAGCTTCATTAAGATGGGGCTGAAGCTGTGGCTGATCTCTGACCTCAAGCCTGGATTCCTCTTCCCCGTCCGGAAACACTCTTTCAGCTTGGGAAGAGCTAATAGCTGTTTACATTTGTCAGACTTTAAGAAGGGCTCATTTGTTTCCTTAACAGAGCAAATGACATGACGAGAGACACCGTTTTCCCACACAGAAACAACAACATATAAACACGGCCAGCAATGCCAACAGCTCTCGATTGGGGATTCTCTGCAGGTCTCCTAAGGCAACGAGGCTTTCGTCAGAACATCAGGATTTCTGACAATCCTTTTTCCGAACTTTTGATTTTGGTGCTGAAAAAAAAAAGAGGGAGAAGCAGGAAATGAGGAATGCCAAACTTGGCTCACACCGGGTTGTTTTAAGGCGGGACACTGTGCACCTGGAGAAAACTGACCATTTGGGTTTTCTTGTTTGTAGAAGGTCTTTAGGAGCTCCACAGCCTCCTCAGCACGGTATCCAGGGACGCACTGAGGAAGGGAGGAACATGAGGTGAGTGTAGGCAGCGACCCAGCAGTAATGTATACAATTACAACACGAACAGACTCCACACACTGACAAGTCAAATATTAGCATGGATAAAGATACACATTTCTAAAAGAATGGGTTCCCAGCCTTAGCTCCCATGTCTCTCAATCAGTCACTACTGTTGGTACTTAAAGTCTCTACGGTATGTAACAGGACTGCAGAGAAATGCTGTACTGATCACCTGAGATGCTAAACAGGTGCTCATGGAGCCTGAGCTGTTTTCACCTGCGATTATTTTCTAGCGTTTCACCAAGCATGGGCTGCTATTCACCTAGGGCAGGTAAACTATTATTGGTGGAACAAATCCAGTCCACAGTTAAGAATGACAAGCTAGCAACTGTTTGTACTTTTAAGAGTTTGTCTATCATTATTACTATTATTAAACAAAACACTATATCACAGAGACATGTTTCTCACAAGAGCTAAAAATATTTACTATCCGGTCATGTACAGGAAACACTTTTCAAGTTTTGCAATGGAGGATTTAAGAAAACTGCTGAGTTTGTTCTCGCTCTGGGATCTGGGCAGAGGGGACGACAGTGTGTGGAAGATCAAAGGAGAAATGAGAGCTGCAAGGAGCAACGAACGACGTTCTGGAGACGAAGATGAACTGGACATTAGAGAAGCAAGGAAGCCGCTTTGGGAAGAGTGGGGGAAGCATGGGTTGTGTGTGTGGATGCAGGCTGAAGGGCCTGGTAGGGCAGGGGAAAGCAATCAAAGGCATCTGAGATGGCGCCAAGTGCTCGGGGGTTTTGGCACTAGGCTGGAGAGACTGGGAAGGCTCTAACCCATCCTGCTGAAGTTTATGGAACAATTCAGTCATCCCTCAAAGTGGTGCCCAGCCAAGCACCTGCAGACTGGAGGCCAGCCTCTCTGGGGCATTGCTGAGAAGGCACAACCCTTCCTGGATCCTCAGCTGATGCCTGGCTGGGATCTTCCCCCATGGTAACAGAAATCTTCTTCTCCCTCCGCTTCCAAAATATGTCCCTGCTCTGGCCTCAGAACATTCCAGACTTCACTGGCCATCTCATTTCCTTTTCCTCTCATCTTTACTGTCTCATGCTCTCAAGACTCCACTGTGGCTGCTTCCCAGGCATCACAAGGCACTCACTGAGGCAAACATGGCCTCCTTCCCACCCCAGCTCTGTGGTCACATGATGACTGGACACACAAGGTTCATTTAGAATCCTGTCCTCCCTTGCTTTCTCAGTCTGCCAGGCTGGCACTGCTGCTCTGGGTGTGCAGGGACTGGTGCCCTCTCGCACCTCTACCTTCACTCTGCCAATGTCCATCCAGCCCACCAGGCCCTCTTCTCCAGGGACTG